CCACATCATCGTTGTCGTTCACACGCAGACACGGGTCAATATAACAGCGTCAACATCTCCTAATCAACATGTACTTTTAAAAAGACCACTACGTGAATCGCGTCCACAGGATGCGCGCTAACCTTCAACTGTCCATTCCTTGAATATACAGGCTGTAAATGACACATAGGTAGGCATATAAACCCTCAAAATAACAAATTATTTTGCACAGAACATATCTTACCAGTGCTTTTTAATAACAAGATGAGTAAATATTGCGCAACGCATCGATAAATATGAATAACTTGTAACAACCTGGGAAGTTTTTTTTTTTCCTCACTCTAAATTAATATGAGAACACATGCACGTCACGCAAGTGTTTTTACGTCTACCTTTCTGCGGCTTTCATCTCCAATTAATAAACAGCTGAAAGTGAGCGTCCCTTCTGCGTACATGTTTTTTTGAGGTAGGGCCAGTGATATAAAGTAAGTGTGGTAAAACATTTTCGTAGGCTAGTAGGTTCATGACTTCTGAAGAAAGACTTAGCGCGAAGTCGCACAAACGCAGGCAGGTACAGCCATGTACTGGTATAACGGAAGTCCAACGTACCTGTATACGTTTGAGTCGTTTTGCATTACATTTTTTTGTCACTGCGTCACAATTTGTCTAGGTTTTCCCAGGTGTATGTAGTAGTCTGTGTTGAACTTATTAATATTTATCGCCCAGTTTCGAGTGACCCTACTAATACCACTTCTAGAGCTCTAAAAATGTTTCACAGCGGATTTCATCGGTTTCGTATAAATTGTATTTCATTTTATGTTTTGCGACGCGCAGTGTTCAGGCTAACAAATGCTAGTGTTTAGATTGTTTATGCCTGGCTTTACATGAAACAGTCTAAAAGATAAAAATATTCTGGAAACTTTGTAATGGCCAAAGACAGCAGAATCTTTTCCTCAGATGACGCTAAGACAACCCAGTGGTTTGTATCTAAATCGATTACATTTCTGCTGTGTGAGTGTTTAATGAATCAATAAACTTCTGCAAGAAAACATGGAAGAAAGAGTCTTGAGCTTCGCCTTCAAGGATGGAACGCGATAGCGTAATGAAGTACGACCAACAAGCTCATGTTTCAGTCCTCTTACCACGTAATCGGGCCCCATTGACATCGCCGTCACATTCGCTTGTCAAGCCTCTTTGCTCGATGGACGCCTCAATCGAGTGGCGAGAAGACTGGTGAGGGTAACAGCGGTTGTTTGAAACTCTCCTAGAATGTCTACTGTGCGCACAGTTTTCGTGAAGTGCCCACTACGCCGTAACATCATCACTTTAGGAACTAACGAAGAAAGTCTCTGTAAGGCAAGACGGACCTTCGTAGCTCGACACTTTATCGATGGTGAATATTAGGATGACCAAATATAGCGCAGCCTTTTGTTGTGAGTTAACAGCTTTCAGCCACGGACTTGTACCACAATGCTCAAGATGTGATGCTTGCAACACTTCTATGCTGCTGCAAAAATTTGGCTTTGCTACTTGTCCACATTTTGGCGACCTTGACTGGCTACTGAAAAAATTAGACAGAAATGTGTGTAGCTAATAGTATGTAGCAAGTTTAGTAGATATTTAGGCCACCGGCCACCACACTTTAAATCTTTTGAAGCTAATTCATCGTAGTCCTCAGTCCAAAGTGAGTGCTTTCATTTCGACCGCATGATCCAATAGTTGGCAACTTCAGTTCAAATGGGGTTACGGTATTTATATATGTAAAGCCATGAGCACATGAAACAAGTCTTTAATCGCAGGACGAAAGTATCACACTGTAGAGACATGCCCGACATGTCACACAAAAAGTAAATACGAGCAGCTTACATTTGAAGGCTGCTTATATCAGTGCCTAGTGGGTTTTCTTAGGGGCAACCTTGAAGACAATTGACGTAGAGCATAGGATGGTGATATGCGATAACATTGGGACGGCGACTGAAGAACTTCAACAGTTCCAGTTTTGATGTCTCCAGTAAACTATTACCAAAACGGAGGAAACATATTACACTTGAACTGCACCTTCCATTCCAGTTGCATGATGTGCCTTGTTCTCCCAATTTTAGTCTAACATTGTAGCTGCTGCCTTCTGAGCATGCGGTAACAAAACATTGCAGCGCAGGCGTTTTTTCAGCTCCGAAAATCTAATTTCGCTTTTGCGTTGTATACACAATGAAAGGTTTCTGAATACAAGGCTCGATTATAAGATATGTGAGGTTTAGCGTCCCAAAACTACCTTATGATTCTGAAAAACGCCGTAGTGAAGGGCTCGAGAAATTGCGACCACCTGGGGGTTTTTACCGTGCACCCAAATCTGACCACATGGGCCTACAGCATTTTTGCCTCTATCGAAAATGCAGCCACGGTAGCTGGGATTCAATCCCGTGACTGGCGGGTCAGTAGCCAAGTACTTTAGCCACTAGACCATCGCGGCGGGGCTTGATTACATGGCTGAGGCTTGAGGACTTTTGCTTGGAGCATTAATTTGAAGACCATCCAATGATGAATGGGTACTTAACAAAACAGCAATTTCAATTGAATCAGGATACCCGCAGGTTTTCCGCATTCAAGACATTAGCATTATTTGATATTAGAAGTTGGATTTGAAAAGAGCTACCTAGAAATTTTCCAGAATTTGATTCTGTCACTAAAACATATAAAATGCTGAAACCACGCAAGAAATTATTGCGAAACTAAAAATATTTTCTACTCAATCAAAGAAACTAATTTTAAGCACATTCGTGCAGTATTCAGTTTTGTTTTCCCCAGAAGACTATTACTTCTAGTCAATTTAGGAAAACTTATGCAAGACACGTGAACAGAGTTTCATTTTGTAACAGCGCAAGAAACCTAGTCATTCTGCGTGAAATTGCTACCGACTGTTCAAGTTGTTGCTATTTGCATTTCAACCTAACAGTTTTAGCATTTATTGGTTTAAATGAGAATGCCGACATTTTTTTCACACATTTATGCCTGATTTTGACTACATTTGTTGCCCTTGGGTGAAGTTCACTACTTTTCTACAGCTAAAGCTGTTTCGAGATCACAACACGGGCCGCGTGCGCGCCGTAGGTTTCAGCCGCCGGTGTCCGTGGCCACTATCGCACGAAATAAGAAATAAATTAGTCAATGAAACACCAAGACCATAGTGGGACTAGAACCCGAGTATCCTGCGTGCAAACCCACTATTTGACCACTGAGCCACATCGGTGCTTGGAAGTTCCTCGCAAATTAGCCCTTGGCTGGCTTGATGTTAGAAAAGGACTCGCGCTGATGCGAGTAATTGGGTGTTTCAAAACAGTAAAGGTGCAATCAAGTGTCAGCATAATGCTACCTGCGCAACGAGTGGGTCGTCCAAAGCTCCCACTCTTCACAAAAGCTTGATCTTGTTACTCTTTTAACTGTGGTGCATACCCACTGTGGGGGATTGTGAAGGAAGCAAGGAATAGCCTGAAAACTGTGGCGCACACCCACGCTCGGGGATTAGCCAAGAACCGGGTACTTCTAACGAAATACTGTTAATTTGTTAGCTCCCGTCTTTTAAACTGGTAAGAGGGATTAAGGGAAAAATAATTGTGAGGAATGGCCAATTAGAAATTACGGATATATAAAGCGAAGTAGATAGTTTCAGCAACAACAATAAATGAATGAATAAAGCAACTTGAAATTAATTTAGAACTACTAATATGTTCTACACTCTTAATCTCTTTGAAGCTTCAGTAAACTCTTGCAAAGCATCGCCAACTTTTCCGTCACCGAATCCTCGGAACAAAGCCTCCAACAAAAGTGGGGACTACAAAATTTTCTGGCATAATTCTTCTTCGTCGTCAGCCAGAGAACGAAAAAAATGCACCAAGTTCTTTGCAAGCACCACGTCTTTCCGACGAATGACGAGCAATGGAATAGTGAATGCCTGCCTCCTGATAGACAGGAGGGTGTTTAACGTCCCAAAACTTCTATATGATTATGATAGACGTCGTAGTGGAGGGCTCCGAAATTTTTACCACCTCGGGTTTTTTCACGTGCACCCAATTCTGAGCACACGGGCCTACAACATTTCCGCCTCCGTAGGAAATGCAGTCACCGCAGCCGGGATTTGATTCCCGCGACCTGCGGGTCAGCAGCCGAGTACCTTAGCCACTAGACCACCGTGGCGGGCCGATACCTGATCCATGGCGTCGCCCAGTAAATGTGCTTGCAGCAGCTACCCAAAGAATGTTGAAAAAAGGCTCTGAAAGGACGCTCTTCCAGCTTTGCTGCAACAGTGCTGCACATTCTGCGCAGGCCTGGTGGTTTTTGTTTGCTATTCTTTTGATGCATTTTTACAGTATTGAACTTGCAACCGTGGTTGTCCCCACCATCATCATCATCATCTTCGCCCACAGCAATAACAAAGCGCATATCTGCGTAGGTGCGCATGTTGTATTGCGGACACGTAGTACCTCTTTTGCTAATTCATCAAATAATAAAATATAGCATACTGGGCGTTTCACAACTGTAATTGCAGTAGGCAATCGAGGATAATCAAACGGCACACTTTACGCACACAGACGCTCCTTTCCCTCTGCCCCGCCGTTGTAGTCTTGTGGCTGAGGTACTCGGCTGCTGACCCGCAGGTCTCGGGATCGAATCCCCTTTGCGGCGGCTGCATTTTCGTTGGCGACCAAATTGCTGTAGGCCCGTGTGCTCAAATTTGGGTATTCGTTAAAGAACGTCAGGCGGCTGAAATTACCGGAGCACTCTACTACGGCGTCTTTCATAACCATATGGTGATTTTGGTCGTTAGACCCCGCATAGGAATAAAATCAGTTCCCTTCCATCTAGCATGGCTGAGGTGCCCACCGCGAAGAGCCGAAGCGTGGCAAGCGAATGAGAAGGTGATGCAGAAGGCGATGAATGAGAAGATAGTGGACACATAGCATGTTGACAATATTGCTTTGACGAAGGCCAAAATAACAGCCTTTTTTTTTTCTCCCACTTCACAGGTATTCTTTACGGCATCGCGGGAACTGTATCCAACGCGTCCGGGTTCCTGGCTCCCATGGTTGTTGGAATGGTCACTTCACCAATGGTAAGGACGAATTTTTGGTTCTAATGTTTAACTGCTTACGTCTAGCCATGCAACAACACATATTCACGTGCATTCAATAGCAGGTTCAACGCAGAAACATTCTCATCAAACAATTTATGATATTGTGGTTCGTTAGTAAATGCTTCCTTTAGGTCAGAGCAGAAGTTCCTGCTTATTGTATAAAGCATGTTTTTATTATCACAGGTCGATCGCGCTACAAAATAACTGATAAATATAAATCAGTTTAAGTGCATTGGTTACGTTTAGTGCCCTGTTTTAACCCAGCTTTTACCTTTACGCGAGCTTTATTTTTGACATCACGCAACACACACATGGTTTTTTTTTGTGTCATTACAACAATAGTTTTTTCTTCTGTAATTTAGCCGTGCATTGTTTGCAAATGTCATTCGCTTCAAACCACCGTAATTGCCTTAGTGTAATTTGAAATGCCTTCAGTCATCAATACTGTAAGCTTCGCGCTGGATTTTCTGTTTTCCAGATCTCATACACAAATGAAAATTTCACGCGACATCAGTACTGTACATTTCATGCTGCGCAAATAAGTTCCAAGTTTTTATAACTTGTATTTGCTTGCAAACGGGGTCAAGTTTGTCGTTAACATTACCTAGCACTGAACATTTTTTAACGTTACAGACGCTATTTATTGTATGAATAACCTCCAACAAGATGTATTTAAAGACGCTGTGTGTGAGCAATTGCATCGATAACCGAGTTTGTTGGCAACCTGTGGCCATTCCGCGACACTATAGGGCTGTTTTGTCGATAACGTAGAAGCCAGAGATCACAGGGCTCCGATTCTTCCTCACATTTGATTCACCCACTCTACTTGTTCGAATGATGAATACTGTTAAGTGTATCAGCCTCAATAGATTGAGGCTCAGTCTGTATCGGCCTGCAGCAGTCAGGTTTACTCACATGCCTATTTTATGTGCCCCCATGGAGCAGTGACATAAAAATGTCACTACACTTTCTTGAAATGAAATAACGCATCAATAACTACAACTACGCATAAAGTTGCGTGTAAAGCAATGCTGAAAGAGATGGACCAACCTTTATTGACACGTTGTGATACGGCTGCCTCGCTTCATCGTTGACTGACAGCCACGCATTGTCATTTAGACGAAGATGTCCATACGGATCATGGGAAAGTAAACATTGGGAGACAGCGCAACAAAAATAAAACAAAACAAAAAAGATAGTCGCCCCAAACATGATCACCATCTGGCACGCGCCTTCAAGACAGGCAGGGCGAGACGAGGCAAGGCAACCGCAGCGCAGACAGCTGCTCGGCGACGACCGAGTTCCTGTGTAAAGAGCACAAGTGGCTTCAAAGAGCGTTTGCTCGCCGTGATTGGCTGCGCCACGTTATGCACTGTCTTGACTTCCCCCTTGATATGATTTTGGTCAGCAAGGGTGTGTCGTGAAAAATCTATAACCATATGTGTAGCCATTAATTCGCTAGAATCCTGCGTGCGCATCGTACACATATAAATCGGTAACGCGTGTGGGTTAGTTTCTCGAAACCAGAGGTCACAAACACAGGTCCCGCAAGGCGTCTGCAGCCAGCGAACCATTTGATTGCCGCTTGGCCTGCAAACTCCCCTCTTCCCATTCTTTTTTTTTTTCTGACTAGACTCTGAGCCAATCGTCTAAAGCTATCACAACATAACACATCAAAATTTTGAAATTGTCGTCATAAACTAATGACGTGGTTCTTTCTCTCGTTTGCATTACACTGCATTTGTGCATGTTCCCTGATTAAATTAGGTTTCGACAAACTGAACATGACATCAGTTTTTTCTTTGATTTTCATTTGTACAGAGTACTCACTCGATGGTCTCACACAATTTTAGTTGTAAAAATAGCGTTCATTTACAAGGCTAACACCCTCACATTTCACAGTTATACTATTGCACATGTGGTTGCAGCTCGCTAGCACGTGCAATATTCCTTCATAGTCGCAAAATTAGGGGAGTAGCCTATAGGAATCACGCGAATGCATCAAACACAAAACCGGTTTGGCTGGCGAAAGATGGGACAGTCCTTTGCCCTGCAGTGATCATAGTCAAGCTCATGATAATGTAGTGCATAGGAGCGCACAACGCCCATATTGCTGCAAGTTTTCGTACAGCGAACCATGGTCAAGTAACACACCATCAGAAGCTCCTCAAACGTTGCATGCTCATTTACGTCTTCCAGACGACTACCCCAGTGCTAAAGCTTACTTTCTTACACTTTTGCAGCCGACTCTGGACAACTGGGCCACGGTTTTCTACCTAACAAGTGGAATCTTTTTGCTGGGAGCGCTGGCCTTTCTTGTGTTTGGCTCAGCTGAACTGCAACCTTGGGCGAAGCCTCCGCCTCCATTAGAAACTGTGGCGACGCACATCGAGCACCAGCACGCCGACGGGGCACACCGCTTCGATTTAACCACAAGCTTTGCCGAGAGCTTCCACATGTTCTAAGAGAACAACGTGTTTACACTGACCGGATGCGTCAGCAGAAGCGACGCATTATACACAAATCCAGCGTTACTCGTAATCATGTATACAGTAGACACCTGCTTATGTAGTGAGTTTTGATCGCTGCCTGACTAACTAAGAACTTGCGACAAGAGCCCTAGTCGAGGACATTTCTATTCAAGGACCTCAGCACTTTGCATTATCGCTTAAAATCGGTGCTCTACCATCCAGTGGTATAACGGGTGCGTCGAAGAGAGCATCTTCAGCAGAAGCGTTGAGTGAAATAACTGCTGTAAAATAGCGCGAACTTTTTCGTGAAAGTTGCTTTCAGTATGTTCAGTTTTGCTATTGTTTCTTCACTGATTGAATATTCACAAGTAATCTGTTGAAGTTATCAGGTGCACAGGTGGTGAAGGAATTTCTACTAACACAATTTACGCACTCGCCATTTCGAGGAGCTCTCGCAACTATCGCAACTCAGGAAAATGCCTCGACACCTGCATGATTTGTGAATTATTGGCGAGTATTCTAATGTCTACGCTTTCCACAAACATTATAAAAATAACCCTCTTGTCCCCTCAACGTGTCGCTACTAGTGTGCCCAATACATGGTGAATTCGGAGACTGCAGTATCGCCCATGATGCATCATAAGTCGTTGTGTAAGAAGATGGGAGATATAATTTTAGGTAGGTCCTTGCACCTAATCAAATTTTTCTTGCGGAAATATTCATCTGCCAGAGTAGTCCGCTGACGTGAAAGACCGCAGTAAGTCAGCAGCCGCAGCGAGACAATGAATTTTGGTCTGTGCCTGGACGAAGCATTCATAAACGCGCAAAGCGCACGTAGTAACAGAACTGCGATGTGTGAACGGTACGCTTAGAGAACTTTATTGGAGTGCTGACGTCAACTACTTCTCATTTCTGCCCCCTGTCCCTCATTTCTTCAGTCTCAATGAAGTACACCAGATTTTTTTTTGGTCCGTTTGACCTGGGAGCAACGAATCCTACTGCTGCGATCAAAAACATCGGGAGGAACTCAAGATCTGTGCTGCATTTTACCAGAGAGATCGCGGTCTTCGAAACGGTTTGTTATCTGCCACTGCCATTCTCATCCCGGAACAAACGGTCTCTCCTAATCATTCACTATCATAGCCTTGCCTTGCATGCCACACCACATTGCTAACACCAGTACGGTTGCTTTATTTATGCTTGCCCCGGAATCTCATCACTACATGCGTTTGTTCCCTTGTTGTTTTTTCGCTCTTTAAAACTGACTGTACAGGGCATCACACTTGAGCAGGGATAGCGATGGAAACCAAGGTGTCATCTTTGAACATTAATCGCTAGTTTACGCAGGCTTGCTCATGCCCTTACTACTTTTATGGTCGATTTCGCCCACCAGAGCGAAAAATGTTGCACAAGCAGTTCTTACTCAACGCCTGTAACATAATTCACGGCCAAGTCCACTGCGTCCCACAAAAAAATCCTTTCTCTTCCAGATAAGTGTCATGTATAACTCAGTACATTTCTAGCACACGCTGCCATTACTCCAGCTGACCTTTCTACTTCCCACAGCTCTGACTACAGCAACGCATACTTTCTTTACGTATTGTTGCTGGTTTGTAGCTCGTTTAATTTTAGAACAAACTGTTCGTGTCTGTATAATAAACACATTCTTAAAACGTTGTTGGCCAACTTCTTTGTTTTAATATTATCACGCTGTCCTGCTGTCGACGAAGGAAACAGAGTTACTGTATATATGCTACCATATATGCGACCTCAAAACAGCATATTGCCGCGACAGGTTGGCCACGTTCAAGTAGCCGCCGCAATCATCATGGCAAGAGCACCAGCAAGACCCGGCTGGCATGCGTCACGCGTTCGTGCGCTCCAACAATGAGAAAGAGGAAGTTAGTGGACTCTGTGCCTCTCAGCTACTTGGACTCGACGACCATAGTCATTAGACTTGTGGGCACAAGTTCGCCCTAATAAAGTTGCTTGTTTTTTTTGGCCTATCTGCCTCAGCATCGCTACATTTCTGGTGGAGTTGCTGGGTTATGAATCGAAGCCCCGCGAGCTCAAGACAGCGTAGCCCCGACGACCAGCGTATCAACCCCGTGGAAGTGACTCCTGTACACCAGAGGGCAAGTCGCCGTCTTCGAGGTGACTCACCTGAGTTCGGTCCTCTTCACTCCACACCAAGGGGAATCAAACTATGGATGCCACCACTATGACTACCCAGGTAACACCGGCACAAGTGTTCATAAGCCAACCGCACCAGCCGCCAGTATTCCACGGCGACTCGTACGAGGATGTTGAAGATTGGCTGGACCTGTTCGAGAGAGTGGCGCGCTTGAATGGTTGGGACGAAAGAGAGAAGCTCCGTCGCGTATACTTCGCCCTGGACGACTTCGCAAAGACATGGTTTGAGAACCATGAAACCTCGTTGTCTACCTGGGAGGTATTTCGACGACAAGCAGTGGCTACGTTCGCGAACGTAGACCGACAGGAAAAAGCGGAAGCTGCTCTTCAATCCAGGAACCAGCTCACAAACGAGACTGCTGCCATGTACATCGAGGACATGGTCCGTCTGTTCAAGCGTGCGGATCACAACATGGCTGAAGATAAGAAGGTGCGCCATCTAATGCGCGGAGTGAAGCAAGAGCTGTTCGCCGTTCTCGTCCGCAACCCTCCAAGCACTGTTGCTGAGTTTTATTCGGAAGCGACGGCCATCGAAAAAACACTAGAACAGCGCGCTCGGCAGTACAACCGGAATGTTAACTGCGCATCTGCACAGCTATTCTCTGGAGGCGTGCGAAACGACGTTGAAGCCCTGCGAGAGCTCATTAGATCAGTTATTCGGGAAGAACTGAGCAGACTGCAAATGCCCCAGACTTCAACTGCACTATCTGTTACAGACGTTGTTCGTGACGAACTGAGGCAGGTCATACGAGAACCAGAGCGGGAGCTGCAGCCAGTTCGACCTATCCGAACGTACTCTGAAGTTCTCCGACAACCAACGGTACACAGCAATGCAGCAGTTGCGATGGCGACGACTCCTCTCCCATCTACAGCACGCAGCGTACCTCGTCCACGGGAACCAACGGCTACCTATCTGCCCCCAGGAGCACGTAGCACGCATCGCTATGCGGAGCCTAGGCCCAGAAAAAGTGACGTCTGGCGTGATCACGAGCGCAGGCCTCTTTGTTTCCATTGTGGCGAAGCAGGTCATTTGTACAGATTCTGCCCTTACCGACAGGCTGGATTAAGAGGCTTCCCGTCGTATGCACCGTGCCCCCGAAACGGCGAACGACCAGCGGAAATTGAGGAGTACTTGTCTACGCGCCAGAACTCGCCACCTCTACGCCAACGTCGGTCACGGTCACCATCGCCTATGCGCTACCGGTCATCCAGCCCACGTGCACCTTCAAGGCAGCCTGGTCATCGCTCTCCAAGTCCACTCCCGGAAAACTGAAGCAAGCGACCTGTGGAGGTGAGGCCGCTGATAACATCAATTACGAAGATCCTCCAATATGGCTTGAGGGCGACGACGGTGTATTTCCGGTAAATGGGTGCAACCACGAAAGTGTTACTTCAGATTTGCGGTTGAGAATAGAAGGATGGGAGCTGAATGCCTTAGTCGACACCGGTGCCGATTATTCAGTGATAAGTCACAAGATGGTGAAGAAGCTAAACAAAGTTGTGACACAGTGGAGTGGATCGCAGATACGCACGGCAGGTGGTCACACTATTACGCCCCTTGGCAGATGCACCGCAAGACTTGAAATACGGGGCTTTATTTACGTTGCCGATTTCATTGTGCTACCAGAATGTTCAAGAGACCTCATTATAGGAATGGATTTTTTGCGAGCTAATGGCGCCGTAATTAACCTGCGTAGGTCCAGCGTGTCGTTTTCGACTGAACGAGCTGTACCTGTAGAGGAATCTGAGGGACGCCTAACTGCTCTACGCGTTGTTCATGATGACGTAACTGTGCCACCACGCTGCAGCATAATGGTGCTCGTAGAGAATGACGCATCTTACAACCGCGAAGGCATAGCGGATACAAATGTAGGGCTGTTTTTGAAAAAAGGTGTCTGCGTAGCTCGGGGTCTTGTTCACTTGACGAATGGCCGTGCAGATGTCCTACTTACGAATTTTTCCAATGAACTTCAACACATCGCTCAAGGCACGGCTATTGCCTATTTACACGACTTCTGTATGGCGACAGAACTATGCAGCTTAACCACGTCAACCACTCGACCAGTGGCCTGCAACATCGACACATCCGTGACCGTCAACCAGAGCCTTCCGGACAGTCAAAAGAAACAGATTGACGCCTTAGTAAAAGAATTCTCTGATTGCTTTTCAATTGCCTCGAAGGTCCAGCGCACGTCAATTACGAAACACAGAATTATAACGCAAGACGACACGAGGCCTATATGCCAGCATCCATATCGAGTGTCACAGAAAGAACGGGAAATCATTAAGAAGCAAGTGGAGGAAATGCTTTCGGATGATGTCATCCAGCCTTCAAATAGTCCATGGGCGTCCCCCGTAGTGCTCGTTAAGAAGAAAGACAACACGCTTAGATTCTGTGTCGACTACCGAAAACTCAACAGTGTAACTAAACGAGATGTATACCCCTTGCCACGTATTGACGATACACTAGATCGGCTGCGATCCGCAAAGTTTTTCTCCTCCTTGGATCTGAAAAGCGGATATTGGCAAATAGAGGTAGACGAGCGGGACCGTGAAAAAACGGCATTCGTAACACCAGATGGCCTCTACGAATTCAAAGCGCTTCCATTCGGCGTTCCAGCGAATGATGGACACTGTCCTCGCCGGATTGAAATGGCAGTCATGCCTGGTGTATTTGGATGACGTGGTGGTATTCTCTGCAACGTTCGACAAACATCTAGAGCGACTGCGCCTTGTATTACAAGCCATCCGGTCAGCAAAGTTGACAATCAAACCCGAAAAATGCCACTTCTGCTTCGAAGAGCTGAGATTCCTTGGACATGTCATTAGTTCTGACGGTGTTCGCCCAGATCCAGAAAAGACAGCCGCTGTTCAGAGGTTCCCTACACCCAAAGACAAAAAGTCAGTGCGCCGATTTTTGGGTTTATGTGCCTACTATAGGCGATTTGTGGAAAACTTTTCAACGATTGCGGAACCTCTTACAAAACTAACGAAAGACGACGTGCCCTTCACATGGAAAAATGAACAACAGAAAGCTTTTGACGAATTAAGAAAACGGCTACAGGGTTCACCAATACTTGCCCATTTTGATGAGACAGCCGACACTGAAGTCCACACCGATGCCAGCAATGTCGGCCTCGGCGCCATCCTGGTCCAGTGGCAAATGGTCAAGAGAAAGTGTTAGCCTATGCCAGCCGCAAACTCTCAAAAGCTGAGGCAAACTACTCTGCTACTGAAAAAGAGTGCCTCGCAGTCATCTGGGCAATAAATAAGTTTCGACCCTACCTTTATGGTAGACCATTCAGAGCTGTCAGTGACCACCATGCTCTATGCTGGCTAGCAAATCTCAAGGATCCGTCAGGACGACTAGCCAGATGGAGCCTTAGGCTGCAGGAGTATGACATTACGGTCGTATACAAATCTGTAAGGAAACACAGTGATGCCGACTGCTTGTCACGCTCTCCCGTCGATCCAAGTGTACCTGATGAGGAAGACTTTCCGTTTCTAGGCGTTGTCGACACATCCGAAATCGCTCAACAACAACGAGATGACCCGGATTTGCTGGCGCTTATACAACACCTGCAGGGTCTCGACGTTCAAGTACCTCGCATATTCTCCAGAGGGCTCTCCACGTTCTGCCTTCGAGGAAGTGTCCTTTACAGGAGGAACTTTGAACCTAATGGCGAAACGTTTTTACTAGTCGTGCCCACAGCCATGCGACAGGAAATTCTGCATGCATGCCACGATGAGCCAACGTCCGGCCACATGGGTGTGAGCCGAACATTCGCCAGGATTCGCCTGAAGTACTATTGGCCTAAGTTGCTCGCATCAGTGCAGCGCTACGTGAAAACGTGTCGTCAATGTCAACGGCGCAAAACTCCAGCCGTAAAATCAGCCGGCCTTCTCCATCCAATAGACCCTCCGGATGCCCCATTCGAACAAGTAGGCATGGACTTCCTAGGACCTTTCCCGACATCATGTGCAGGCAAGAAATGCATTGTCGTAGCTACAGACTATCTGACCCGTTATGCTGAGACTGACTCTCTGTACAGTGCGACAGCTGCCGAAGTCGCCAAGTTCTTTGTGAACAACATAGTGCTCAGACATGGTGCGCCCATCGTCGTTATTACGGATCGCGGCACAGCATTTACTGCAGACCTTATGCAATGTCTGATGCGCATGACAAATACCGATCACAGAAGAACAACGGCGTATCACCCTCAGTCAAATGGCTTAACCGAACGCCTCAACAGAACTCTGACCGACATGCTGTGAATGTATGTCGATGTTGAACATAAACAGTGGGATGAAATATTACCCTACGTAACATTCGCATACAATACAGCCGTTCAAGAAACAACCCAAGTTGCCCCTTTCGAACTAGTATTCGGTCGAAGAGTGACCACCCCACTGGATGCCATGTTACCGCTACAGGACGAAAACAGCTATCCACCTGACTTAGATGACTTCTTGCAACGAGCCGA